CATATGAGGAGAGGCTGAAATTTCTCAAATTTTCTTTTGGAAAAAGAAGAGTTAGGGAGAATCTGATTGAGGTTTTTAAGATTGTAAATGGAATTTATAGTGTTAATGTTTAATCTTTTTTTTTTCATACTTAACAGTTAGAATATTAGACTAGGGAACACAAATATAAATTTTGGCAACGTAGGAGTCATCTTCAGCTAAGACAGTTTTATTTTTTTAACAGGGTGGTTAGCCTTTGGAATGGGTTGCCTTCATACGTTGTGGAGGCAGTAAATTTAAATGAGTTTAAGAAAAAGCTTGATAAATTTTTGAATGATAAGGGCTGGCTTTAAGATTTTTTTAAATTATTTTAATTTAGTTTAGAGGATGAAACAGCTGAGATGGACCAATAGATCCCATGTTGTCCCAAAACATTGTTATTTTTCATTATTTATAACTTGATGCAGCATTCAAAGAGTATCTTTTTGTGTTAGGGGACCAGACTGTTATTTTCAATCAAAGAATATGTAGAATATTATGTTAGTTCACTTCTAGATAAATGAGATTTAGGGTAATATGTATGTTTATATCCTAACCTAATAACATTACATAATTGTCCCAGGTACCATTATGAGCTACACTAGCTCCACCTTTAATTTTTGCCTGTGTTGATTTTAGTATCATTTATTAGCTTACATATAAAATGAAAAATAAAGTAGGTGAGAACAGGTAACATTAAAGAAACTACTGAAACATTCATTACAACTAAATACAATTAAACGAAAGAAAAAAAATACAAACTGATCAAAATAATACATTTGAGTTAAAATGGTAATAACAGCATGTACAAAGTGGGAAGCACGTTGTTCTAGCCTTTTTCTGTTGAGCTTTCACAAGATTGTCTTTGAGCTAGGATTTTTTCTCTTTCTTTATTTTGTACTGTAATCCTTATTGCCTGTATTCTCTGTTCACTTGTTTTGTTAGATTTCAAATACCCAACAGCTTTCTTATAGTCAGCTTGTGTTTTGTTATGGTCAAACCAAATTGTTTTGCATTGCTTTGTTAATATTACTGTAACATCATGCTTAATAAGATTTTCAACTTAGATGATTTGCAGAAAAGACGTTTGTCTAGAAGGAAATTGAGTTTTATTGTGTTTATATAAATAATTATATCTTATTTAATAAAGTTGGTTTCAATCTGAACTGTTGTACATTATACAGTATGTTGTCTAATTTTATGGAATCTTTAGCTTCTTGCTTTCAAGGATACAAGGGTCTTGTTTTTTTTTTATAAACTAACTCAAAAATTCTTATAGTCATGTAAAACATTAGATAGTGTTTTAGTAGTGTATTAATACTTTAATCAAGAATTGTGTAATTTTAGCCTTCATGAGACTAAGCTGGAGATAGCATCCCAGGAAGTGGATAGTGTAAGAAAAATGACTTCAGTAGAAAAATGTAAATGTCCACCAGGCTATGCAGGCTTATCTTGTGAAGTAAGTACTTTGACATAACAAATGTCCACCCAAAGAAGAATTATTTTAAAATATATCTTTAGCTAATTTGAAAATGGGAGTAAAAGGTTGATACTGAAGTGAAACAGAAGTAATAGTAGATGATAATACTGATGGGAAAACATGAAAATTTGCAGTTGGTATTATGGAGTACTAAAATGAAGTGTTTGTGTTAGCACTGGGAGAAATACAGCTGATTGTAGATTAGTATAGTTGACCAGTGAGAGGAAACAATGGACAGTGAGCAGTAGAGATGAGCAGTGAGAGGAAAAATGGACAGTGAGCAGTAGAGATGAGCAGTGAGAGGAAACAATGGACAGTGAGCAGTAGAGATGAGCAGTGAGAGGAAACAATGGACAGTGAGCAGTAGAGATGAGCAGTGAGAGGAGACAATGGACAGTGAGTATTAGAGATGAGCAGTCAGAGGAGACAATGGACAGTGAGTAGTGGAGATGAGCAGTGAGAGGAAACCATGGACAGTGAGTAGTGGAGATGAGCAGTGAGAGGAAACAATGGACAGTGAGCAGTAGAGATGAGCAGTGAGAGGAAACAATGGACAGTGAGTATTAGAGATGAGCAGTCAGAGGAGACAATGGACAGTGAGTATTAGAGATGAGCAGTCAGAGGAGACAATGGACAGTGAGTAGTGGAGATGAGCAGTGAGAGGAGTAGCAGAGCTGTGCACCAAAGGAAAGCAACTGACAGGAAGTAGAGTTGTGCACCAAAGTAAAGCAACTGACAGGAAGTAGTAGAGTTGTGCACCAAAGTAAAGCAACTGACAGGAAGTAGTAGAGTTGTGCACCAAAGGAAAGCAACTGACAGGAAGTAGAGTTGTGCACCAAAGTAAAGCAACTGACAGGAAGTAGTAGAGTTGTGCACCAAAGTAAAGCAACTGACAGGAAGTAGTAGAGTTGTGCACCAAAGTAAAGCAACTGACAGGAAGTAGTAGAGTTGAGTCATTAATTGGTAAAGTTGAAGACTGAGGGAAGAAAAGTGACAGTAATTGATATGGTTGAACACATAAAGTGTAAACCTAAATTGTAGTAATTTTTACTGTTAGGGACTAATGGGGTGCACAGATGCTTTCTTGTAATTATGTAATCCTAAATTTTATTAATTATGGATCATTATTGTACATGAAAAGGCTTATTTAACAAAATAAAATTTGCTGAATTTTGTAAAATCTGCTGTTTAGAAACTGCATTAGAATAAAATTAATGTTATTGGGAAACAATGATTACTAAGAATTTTGTTACATCCATATATTATATACTAGCAAAAGTACTCGGTTTCACTTGAGATATTAGGTTGACTTATTCTAGATGACTATGTCAGTGTGTGTATTCTAAACCTATTGTAGCATAGAAGAATAGTCAAAAATATTTTAAACATTTTTATTTTCCAGAAACATAAAGCCGTAAAGAAAGTACAGTAAATTAAGAATTATTTATTATCAAAGAATTTTATTATTGTGTTAAATATTTCACATTTGTATTTGATATCACAAATTTCTGTTGCATTTTATCTGAATATATTACAATTTTTTACCGTTGCAGTTCTTCCAGTTAGACAATAATGGTTGTTTTCTCAAAGAAATCACAGAAAGACACGCTCTATAATAATATTATTATAATATATTGTTACGTCTATGTATGCTCGTTTGTTAATTTTTCTGCAATACAAGTCCTTTCTTAAATAAAACTAGTTTATTCTTCCTCAATAAAACTTTGCAATACACTTAATTTCCACAGTTACTTCAACTTAAACACATGCTATAATTCACAACAATTCACTCACTTTACAACCACGCTTGACTCAATTGTCCGTCTCTATCTCCGCCTGTCAGCAACTACAGTTCCGATCTCTGTATCTGCTATCCTCGGTTCACGCCGACCGTAACTGCCGTCCTTGGTTCCCCACTCTCCCTCCTTGTCTCCTTTGTCTAGTGCACTTATATACGATAATACCGCCCGTGTCGCCTCTTCGAGAATCTTCTAGACACTCATCACGTGCTACCAGCATCACTTGACTTCCGCCGTTGTAACACACTAGCATTTTCCACGAATCTTCTGGATACTCATTATGTGTTACCAACGTCACGTGACTTCCGCTGTCTTAACACTGCCTCTTCCTTAGTATTGTTTGGAACGAATAATAGCCACTTAAATTAAACCAATAGATAATTAACAATAACTTAATTAAATGTACAGAATTTACAAACCCAAAATTAAAATTCAACAAAGTCTCTTAATTTTATGGGACGTATCTTCTTCTGTACTGGTCTGAGTCTCGTTTGGCTTCTGCTTCACGTGGGGTTCATTTGCTCCATCAGGAAATGTCCTGTTATTGGTAACAGTCACATCAGTGGTAGTAACTTCACCAAGGGCTTCACTGTTTCCTTTCTCAAAACCAGGTAGAGTTTCTTCTTCGACAGTGGCTTTTTCAGGTGGCACGTCTTCAGCGGCATCTTTTGTTCCATTGTTCAATTCGTCCCAACTGAAATGTCCTGGACCGTGATAATGCCAAAGCCTGTTGGCATGCACCACCTTTGGATTACCTCGCCGACCACATTTTATTCGGAAAGTCATATAGGCCTTCCCATCGAGATGACAACTTTGGTCTTCCTGGGATTATAGAACCACACCTTGCCTCCTGGTACAAAGCTGACTTCAGTAGATCTCTTATCATAACATAGCTTCATGGAATCAGCAGACGTTTTCAAGTTTGAACGCAC